GCGCGCGTCCCAGGGAGACGGTGACGCCGGCGCCGAGCGCGGCGTGGGCGGCTCCCCGCCTCTCCCCCGCAGTGCGGGCGGGCCCGGCACACAGAGAATGCAGGCGGCGCAGACCAAGTGGTCGCGAGCCGAGGGGGGAGTGGCCGAGCAGGAGAGACCCGGGGGTCCGAACTGCGAGTTCCCGGGCCGAAGGAGCAAGGGCCGAAGTCAAAACGGGTAGCCCTCGGAAGATCTGTTGCCTTTCAGCCTGGGCAGCGGGGTGGAGGCGCCCAGTGGGGGAAAGGGGATGCCCTCCTTCCAGAGCCCAGGAGAAGGTCCGGCGGCGGCGCTGGAGGGCGTGGGAGCCCCGGGCAGGGTGCGGAAGAAAGCGAGTGTCTGTGGTGGTTCTTCTCTCCACCGATCTCCTTCCCCGCTTATCCCTCCTTACTGACTTCTCTGACCCCCCGCCCTACTGATCTCAGTGACCTCCCTCTTTGTCCCAGGACCCGCATCCCTGGAACCCCCTGTCACACCCCAGGCAGCCTCTGGAGCCTGGGGAAAGGGGCGTCGGGAAAACCCCGGGAGTCAGACACTACAGACACCGGCTAGAGCGCGGAAGCACGAGAGAGACCGTGACTTGCACGAGGTCACACGGACCTGGCCTAAACCCAAGGGTCAGGACTGGCTCACCAGAGCTCCTGCCGCTGTCCAGACTGCCTGCCCCGTCTCAGGCCTGCTGTCGACCTGAGCCGTCCGTCCTTGGACAGCCTCCCTCAGTTGGTGAGGACGAAATGAAATGGTTACCGTAAAGCACTTTTTACAGGGCCTAACAAAATAAACACGCAGTACGTATTCACTCTTCTTCCTGGACGCTGAGCTCCAGAGGGCAGGCCCCGGGTCTTAGTTATGCTTTTTTAGACTCCAAGGGCTGCGAGAATGGCGTCCGGCACTCAGTTTCTAGGGCAGTTTGTTGAGTGAATATCAGACTCGAGTGTGATATTCTGTAGACAACGATATGTTTTTCACTCGACGTTGATTGAGTTCCTACTTTGCATTATGCATTATTTCATTCATTCAGAAAATAGTTTTTATTGTCTGCCTCCTTCACTGGTCCGTGATGACAGCAACTTTGTTTCATCCCCTGCTCTATCTGCAGTGCCTAAAACAGAGCTTGGCATAGTAGTAGGCATGCAATTCTTATTTCTTGAGTAAATGAATTGTAAGAAATCCAGGAAGAGGAGGAGCAAGGTGGGGAAATGTGGGCAGGTCTGGAGCCCAGGAACGTGAGTTTGAGAGAATTCATGGTAGTAAGGGTGAATTAAATAGAATTCTTTCAGCTCCGAGAAGTAGACACCTGATTCAAACTGGCCTATGCAATATGGAAACGTATCATCCATCTCACATCACAGGTAGTCCAATGGTAGGGCAGTAGATTCCTTGGTTCAACAATGTCATTATGAGCCTGGGATGCTTCTATCTCCTGCTCTGCTGTCCCTACCTTATACCAAAGCTGGCTCCCCTCATATCACAAAATGGCTGCCATGGGCAGTGGAGGCTGCATGCTTCCTTTTCCCATCCAACAGGCAACAGGAAGACTGATTTCTCTTTCCCAGAAGTCCTAAACAAGCATCCCCTTGAATCTCATTGGTCTAATCTGGTTTAGGCCTGTTCATCCCACACAAAGTGTTGCCAAGGGAGTGGAATTACCATGACTGGATTAGATTAAATTTTTGGAATGGATAAAATGTTGGAGGGAAGACCATAATGTCTCCCATGGAATTAGATGACTCTGGGAATGAGTAAGAATAAGAGAAAAAGAATAAGAATGGAACTCTCAGGAACACCAGCATTTATGGGTTTGGCAAGGGGACGTAGAGTGTGTGAAGGAAACTAAGAAACAATCATCAAAGAAGAAGGAAGAGGATTGGGAGTGTGTGGTGGTGATGGTTTTAGATAACTCGTGGGAAGGTTTCCCCAGCTCTCAATCATTTCACTATTTCTGGGATGCCCTGCAGCAGAATGGTGGCCCCCACTGGCCATGCCTGGAGTCTTCCACACCATCACCCAGCCATAATGTTTTGATGCAGGGCTAGAACTCTGGCCCAAGATGAACCAATGATGGTGCCCTGTTTCCCGTTGTACCAATCATGGACACTCACCCAAGGGTCATCAATTACAACCCTTCTCTGAGATTGTTTTCTCTGGTGCTGAGGATAGATTCAGTCTTTCTCTCTAAAGGAAATGCCATTAGAGGAGAAGGAACAAGGGACAGAGGGGAATTAGTGGTATTGGCGTCCCTGATTTCAGTTTTCCTCGACACCTGGGTTCAGTGTGAAACACTGAAATAATCTTCTAGTAAGTTACGCTTTTATTCTAAGCAAGATGAGCTCATGGAGCAGACTTTATTGGTTGCCTATCAAAATCAAGCAGAGATGGAGAAAGGGACTTGGGATCAGGGAGGCCATTTGTGAGGCAATCGCAGAAAGCAAGAGTGAAGAATGGCAGAGAACGAGACAAGAAAGAAAGAAAGGAAGGCTAAACTAGTGGCGGTTGCTGCTATAGATAATGGGGCCTTGGTTCCACTAGGACTTCTGACAAGTGTACAAAACCTTCCAGAATTGAGAGGTGTGAGGCTAAAGAAGTTATCTACTGCCCCCCTCTTCCACTGGTTGAGTGTTTGCCCTAGGGCTGTTAACTTCCTCACACTTCTGGTCTCCTTTGTGCCGAGTAGGCTCCCGTGATATCAGAGAAGTTCCTGAGGCAGGCATAGAGACAGAGAGACACTCTGTATGTTTGAAGTGGGATGCTGCCAGCCAGAGGTGAGTCTAGGCTTGCACAGAACTGTCCATGCTAACTGCGCTGTCATAACAAATTACCAAAAACTTAGCAGCCTAAAACAGCCCAAAAATGTATTATCTCGCATTTTCTGGGCACAGTGTGGCTCAGCTGATTCTCTGCTTAGAGCCTCACAAGACCGAAATAAAGTGTTGGCAGGACTGTGCTCCTTTGTGGAGGCTTTAGGAGTGGATCTGTGTCCCAGATCATTGGCAGAATTCGGTTCCATGCAATTGTAGGACTGAAGTCCCCATTTCCTTGCTGGCTGTCAGTTGGGGG